GTGTGAACGCAGTCATTGTTATTTAGACGTTTTAAGCAACATTTACATTATGACATATATGGAAGTTAAAAGTAACAAATGGTTATTTAACTCAAGGGATTAGATTGCTCCTTTAATATCTAATAGCGTGAATGCAGCCATTGTTATCTGAACATTTAATGCACGACATTACCGTTTGCATATGTATCGCGGGATGTTCTCGCGCGCGACTGACATTGAAAATTAGCATGTAAGATCAGCCGTGTTATGCAGATGAACGCGAGTCTGATGCAACAGGCACTCTCGTACGTTCCGCGAACGCGAGAAAGCGTTCCTTCAGAAGCAAGAAAGTTCCATCTATATCTATCATAATGCTTTAATGATAGGCGATCGTGGTTGTAAGGAAAGAAGTTATCGTAAGCATTGTTTGTATAGGGGAAGCCCGGGCAGCGCGGACGTGTTAATGTTGAGAAGCAAAAATGACACCGTGAAATGATAGAAAAAGAATTAATGTACAACTAATTTACACTTTTTAAAGCTCGTTTATTAGAATGATCTGGTAGAAGCCCTTTATTTTAAAAAATGACACAATTAAAATTGAGATTAGAAACCATTTTCATTCTCATAAATCTCCTAAAGGACTTAACTTCGAAATAAAATAAAAAAAAATTGAAAAACTTTAACATTAATATGCCGTTTTAGTTAAAACATAAAAAAAGAGAAACCGTCCGTTTTGCCCGACTCCCCTGGGCAAAGCAAATGGATCACTCGAGCAATGCAAATGAAATTTAAAAAATTAGAATCAGTGACAACCACGCCACGAATAAAAGTAGCTACTAAATCCTCTATATGTAGTGCCTTCATGGGCCGATTTGGTACAACGACTGCACTAGATTAGTCATAAACAAATCATCATATTGCATTGTGACAAAAAATAAACAAAAATGAGATGCAAACAAACATGTGCCTTTCGTACACTCGAAAAATCATCCGTATTCCCAATATTTTCATTATAATCATATTACCGAGTAAAAAGGATGGATCATCCTCTTTGCCCCCATCCGCTTTGCCCAAAGGACCTACCTGGCGCAAATTTGGAAAGGTTAGAATAAGTTGAAGCACCAAGTGAAAAATTTCTAGAAAGTCTATAAGAAATTGAGTCAACTTATACGATGAGTTTACGATAACAACAAGCATTACAATCGTCATAAAGGGCTTATGATAGATATTACAATAGATGTAGATGAGCTTTACCGGTGCGAACTAGCTCGTAATGTAGATCGAAGGTATCTCAGAATGCGATCCCGCAGGTTCATCGACTCTGATAGTGACAATCAAACATGAGGCACAGTATCCGCCTCATAGAGGAGTAACAGAAACTCCCCGCCGTCCGTCTACGACAGGATTGCGTTACCAAGCTGGAGAGATAATGTTCCGTAATTGCACGTCTCGCGCAAACATCAAGCAAATACTGGCAGTATATCGTTCATGGTGCAATTAAAATGGTATCGCGTTTCGTTTCCGAGTGATAAGCGACATGGCTGCATGCTCGCGCGGTAATCGTTATGAAAAACGGGCGGATCGAGTGAATGAACCTAACGAAAATTAATGCGTGCAAGAGAGCGCCGGGCGTTTAAGCATTATGCTTCTAGCAGCCGTTCCATCATCCCGCGGAATATTGAATAGTTCTGCAAAGCGAGACGTGCTATCCTTATAAAACCAGTTCCGTTCTTTTCTTAGAATACCATTCTCTTGTCTCCCTTTAGAACGAATCAATCTCAATTGTCTGTTTGATGTAATTATCGGCACAATCGATCGCGATTGCGTTTCGATGTCGGCGCGTAAAAGAAAAAGAAAATGGTGGGCGTTCGCGCGTAATCCGATTTTGGATTAACGCGATGGGAAAGAAAGAACGTATAATGTATACTTCTACGAATAAATATTTCTTTCTCTTTCCTTCTCTCTCTTACAGTCCTTGAAATGTAAGGATTCACGTTTATACTTCCTTTCGGTTGATTCGTTAGTTAGTCAGAGCGACCGCAGAATTCCGTTGTAAATTCCACGACTTGATGGTTTCTGCTCGGGCCATCTCTCTTCACTGCTGGAAACGACGGGTGCGCTAATACCCGGTTCCTAGCAATTAATCGACTTTCATTATTTCCATTGATTGCAACTTAAATTATTACGAGAGACTTCATCTCCGCGATCTTCTCGTCACGAACAAAGCAGCGCGGTGCCAATATTCCAGCACGGATCGCAAAAACCTTATTTCGTGTTCTATGCTGTTGATACGAAGAAAAGTTTACTTCAAGCGCAGATTGTTGTTTCCGCTTTTGTCGTCCGCAAACTTTAAGATTTCGCAAACGATCCAAAAGTCTAAATCTGTCGCTATTTAATTACGCGGAATTATTAATCGGAATATAAAATTTGCGAGATAATAATTAACTCCCTCCAGAATTTTGACAGTGTCTGTTGATCAATTAAATTTCTTTATTAAAAACAGCGAACAATTGAAAAATAAGAAAAATATCTGAATAAAAATGAACAAATCAGAAGATTCTAATCATATCAGAATCTGGTTATCTTTAGAATTATAATAGATTCAACTAGAAAAAATTTAGATTTACCTATTTTTATATATATAACTAGAATTTCAATTAATGCAACCAGACTCTTTTTCCAATTCAATTTTTTTTATATTAAATTGCAAATTTGGATTATTCTTACTAAAATAGTAAATAAATATACTTATAAGGGAACCATCAAAACTGTCACTCATCGATTTTGATAGGTTTTTGGTATTAAGTTGTAGAACTTCTTCAACATAGTACAAAACTTGCAGCAATATTGCTGCAAGTTTTGTACTGTTGGGGTTAATACATATATTAGACCCAAATTTTTTTAATTGCTTAGCTCAAGGTTTAGAAGTCAAAGCAACCCCTGGAAAATAACGGATTTTTCTCTGCGAATATCTTTTAAACTATAAGATATATGAAGAAATGTTTTATACAAAACTTTGATAGTATTATATACTTTTAATAACATATTTACATTTGTAAATATCATCAAACAGAATTGTTTGATGTATTTACATTTTTCAAAAATGTTAAATTTTTTAATTTATCGCCAGGATATGTTTCGATCGCTAAACTTTGAGCTAAGTAGATAAAAAATATAGGTCTAATATTTGTTAATGCTCTACAAAGTCTATAATATATCCAAAGTCCATCAAAATCGGCGAGGGATAATTCCAACGGTTTCTTTGTCAGTATTTTTTTTTATGCGGGTTATGTCAGTCTGATTCCTTGAAATTAATTAGTGCCTTATATTAACACGAATTACCATAAACGGATTTTATAGAGTATTGCCCCTGACAAAAATTTTTAATGAGACGTTATGTTTGTATATATTTATGAAAAATTTTGTCAATAATTATACTATTTGTGAAAAGTTCTATTGATAATTACATTGTTCAGATAATTACGAGTACCGTTTAGAAACATCTAATGAATCTTCTACAACATTAACATAACATTTAGGAAGTTATAATAGAAACTATGAGACTATATCATAAAACGCTACTTAAACACTTCATAGTCGTAAACATATTATAAACAACTCTTATTTCTATTTTTCAATTTCCATCTCATAAGCAAATCAATACATGTGTTAAAGTTCAATGAAACGTCTATTTAACACTTAGCAAACTTCTTATAAATTTTTAAAATATTTATAAATATATTAGTTTCGCCAGGGATTCAATAACTGTGAAACCAATAACTGTGTTACAAATTTTAGCGTCAATTTCGAAGGGCTAATATGCTTTAGGAAACAAGCGTAGATTACTAAAGAAGATTCTGTAGAGCACTCAAGAACACCGTAATTGACGCCGTTAATCGACTTGATAGAACTGAAAAACATGCACATGCAAAAAGCTCATTCTTTGTTCTTGAGATTACGCGACGTGACTAAGACGCTTGATTAAAAATTATTGTGCACAACGTGTTGGAAAAATAACGGAAAAAAGAGCGGCACAGGTTGACGTGTGCAGGTTGTCGCATGTAGGAAAATAGGAAAGACGTTATACTTGGCCGAGTTACACTGACCATGACTGAGCGGTCGAGCGCGAAGTCGACCTTGCACCGTAACGACGGCGTTAATAACGAATGTATGAATGTATGTCGCTGCACCAACGTCAGTAGTGTGACTCTTTCCCCTTTTTCCCTTTTTCTTCGCAAAAGTATTTTTCAGCAGCGGCAATGGGAAAGGAAGTAGTTAAACAAGAGAGACAGAGAAAAAAGATAATAGAACGCAACGCCTGATTCGCATGGAACGCAAATGAGCTCGTTTCTCCTTTCCTCTAGTGTCGGTACTATCGGTTTAAGCGCGACCACGTGGAAAGCTCACGTGCGTCAGCGGTTTTCCGTATCTCTGGCTCCGATTCTGTGTTTTCCGCCGCGCTCGATTAAGCGTCCGTGCGTTCCCGTATAGAGCAACTACGGCAGAATAATTAGCGATAAAATGGCAGAATAACGGGAGGAGGGGAGGATCGATCTATCTCGTTATTGGAGTATTCCAATATAAAGCGAATTTTATCAGCGATTCAGCGAGGAGAATATTTTTGGCTTCGTTCGGCCAATATATACATATTTTTAGCTACGATTCTCTGAATAAACAATAGTAAGTAAAAATCAATCGAGAAACTTTTAATAAATAAGTAAAGAAGACCATTACGAGTTATTAGTATTAGGCCAAAGCGAATCTTGATGCTTAATTTAGGAGTAATTACATTTTTTTACGTAAACGATCATTTGTCGAAAAATCGTTTCGGCTAAATTTTATAGTCATCATCAGTAAGATAGAGCATACAAATCCTATACCTAGTACTTGCCACATTAATGTGTTTCACGTGAAATCATCGCTAAATGCATCTTTCTAACAATATGATTCAGAATTATCCTAAGCAATTACATGACTGGATAATATAAATGCATGCGTGTGCCTAAGATCACACAAATCGCAAGTAAAAATAAATTAATTCGCGGGCACGTAAGATTTAGATTAAAAAATAATAAATAAGAGAGAGAGAGAGAGAGAGAGAGAGAGAGAGAGAGAGAAAGAGCAAGAAAGAGATGAATAACAAGTCACACATTAAAATGATTAATATAAAAAATAAATATAATAAAAATAAATTAAATTCATTAGTTAGTTAATAAATTAACTTAATAAAATGATACAAATGATACAAATGATACACAGTTAAGTGTGAAATGTTAACAATAAAATGTTTTTATCAACAATTTGTGCATTGTTTATCGTTGATACCTATTAGCACAATCTATTACTTCTATGTTTTTTAATTATTAGAAAAATTTCGTTAAATTAAAAAATAAAAGATTTTAATTAATGTAACGTTTTTTTATTGCAAGCTTTCGATGGAATTGCATACTTAAAAGTTTGTAAAAGAATAATTATTAAAAAAGAAAGAAAATTTAATAAACAATATCCATACAAAACAATACTTTACAAAAATTCACACTATTCGCTGCTGGAGTATGAAAACATCCTATAGGTGACTATTCCCGGGTTAATAATATTTTTTTTGCATGAATTTTTAACGAATTCGGTTGAATGCATTCAGTGCGCACTGATGCACATTAAAGCCGTCGTACATGAATTGACATAAAGATGTGTATTTAATATAAATATAGAAACGGATTAAATCGTAAAATCCTCAATACACATTACTGTGTTGTTAGATAAAATATATATTCAAAATGTTTACATTTTACTTTTACACTCAGATTAATGCATAACGGTTTTAATATACCCTAGTACGAACTAGTGCGTCCAATCGAAATTATTATTACAATCTCTGAATGAGATTGCAACGTACTTTTCGATATTGACTGTCCTAATATTAGTAAGAGTAATAAATCGGCGTTGATTAAAGCGATTCTTTATCTTTAGCGATTCGCGGATATGTCGGGCATCGCACACAGGACGAATGATGGATTATGATCGCGTGATTATCGGATGAGGAAAATCATACGTGATTTATTCTCGCATGAGATGAAATCGCGGTCCCTCTTTTTTCACGTACCAATCGCACTCGACAGTACAGATCGTAAAACGTTTCGAGCGCCGTTTGTGAATTAATAAATTGCCGAATCGAATCTGCTGTTCAAATCAGCTGTTATCTAATTTCACGGGAAACACAGAATACGTGTACATTATATTTAAAAAAATCACAATTTATCAAGGACCTCAAAAAACAGCTGTTCGTGGAACGATGACATGCGGAAAACTTCAATTCTTTCGACCGGGAGAAAAGAAACCTGTATTATAAGAAAATAAATATGTCTGATTTCTCGTTTCTCTGGTCGACGTAGTGGAGAGGAGTCGAGAGTAAGCACGACTTCAGGCTTCAATTTTGTCCGAGGTCTTTTCTCGGCAGATGACGCAATGGAGTTCTAGAAAATGTTTTATTTTTGCTGATTTAATGGAAGACCCGCGGAGCATCGAGACGTCATGATTTCAATTGTGTGTCGGCAAGCGTCCAACTGAATCAAAGTACACGCTCTCGTTTAGCTGAGTGCGATGTATCGCAACTCATGTATCAAAATGTTAAGGAGGCGTGAAGGAAACGTTCAGCGGTTCATTGTCGATCTCGTGTTTGTTACAAGAGGTCGAACTATTGACCTCGTAGATGATACGTATCTTCTTGTTAAACAGACAGTTCTATCATTTTCTGGTTCACTATTTTCACCCGTGATGCGTACCATGATCATATTTTCTTAAATAAAATAAAGGACAAATTGAAAATTTTAGGACTTTATTCCTACAAATTTTAGCACTTTGTTCTTAAATCTTTTTAAACTACAATAGTTTGTGACTAACAGAAGTTTGTGCATTAATTTTCTTAAATTTTTTTGCACAGTACCTAAAAAGAACTTTCAAGTAAAATACAAGTAGATATCATCAAAATAACATCATTCTGCAGAAATGTAGCTGCAAATTTTATTATTAAAAACTAATTTTCAATTAATCACTTATTTTGATATTATTGTTATTAACAAAACTTTGTTGTGCTGTTTGGGCTAATATTACATAAAACCAAAGGGCTATACCCAGTTTTATAGAGGAATTTGAGCTCCGGATAAACAATTTTGAGACACTTAAAATTTTAAAGTATCAAAAGAGGATAAAAAATTCCAGAAATTCAACTTTATAGGAGAGGTTTCCTGAGTATTAGAACTATCCAAAGTTCGCTATTATGATCATGTACACTAGTCTTATCCAATTTCTCTGCACCTCCCCGCGATGACGGTAACGAATTATATCAAAGACAATGAAGTAATATCTAAAATGTATTTAGTACAGTTCATTAATCCGGTTGACAGTTATATGGTATCTGAGATATGCCCAACACTTTAACAAAGATATCTATATCCCAACAAGAATAGTTAATGATGTTTTTTTAGAGAGTTCCAATGAGGAAGCTGAAGAGAGATAAGGTCCACATATTGGCCACATTTCAATTAGGCAATTAATTAGGTCTTTTGTTTTATACTTTGAATGTCTCTCTCCCTTATTCGATTAATATATATCACTTATATTGGGTCGTTCGGAAAGTCCGTGCGTATTTTCCGGACGACCCAATAATTATTCATTTGGAGTCCAAAAAGAGTTTTAGTTGTCTTCATCAAGATTGGACATATTCCAGATGATTCGAAAAATCGAATAAAACCAATCCTACATGGTACACAATATATGGTCATAATAGCGAACTTTGAACATAATAGTGAACTTTGCTATAGCACTCAAGGGACTCACTTTACAAAATTGTGCATATGGAACTTTTTAATTCTTTTTTTATGCTCTACAATACTAACTAGATCCCAATACTGTTCAGCCGGGGCCTAAATTGGGCATAGTCCTTTGTCGGTTGTTTCCATAAAAATTCGCTCATTAGTACATTGGACATTGGAATGCTAATTAGAGTTCCATAACATTAATATAAGAATTTTCCATAATATTATTGATATAAAGTTGAGTTTTAAAAATGTTTTATCTGTATCAATGTATAATCACTGACATCAGTCCCAATTATGCCATTGGTAACCATTGACTTCATAGTTAATTCAATTAAAAAAACAATAAAACATGGAATCCCTAATCTAATCTAGTTAACTTTGTTTTAGTACATAAATTTAATGTATTATATATTTAGTAATAAATTTAATGGTAGATTGGAACTGACGTGCAAGTATCAGTATTTTAATTTATACATAGTGCTTACATTTTCTTTCTTTTTCAGTTGAATTTTACTGATTCAGATTAAGAGAGAAAATAAATAAATCTAAAGGACAGCTACATAAAATAAAGGATATCATCCTTTACAATAAAGGACATATGGTTAATGTAGTAATGCGCTGTCAAAATCGTCGACGTGAAAGTTGCATCGAGGAGATTCGCAATCGCCTCGACACAATATTGCGCGGCGATCTAAATACTCCAACCAATCGTTCGATCCTATCGATTCACCCGTCGAGTTGAGGTAACAATTTGCATTGTTAATCGGAGATCCACTGATAGTCCGTATAATGAACTCCGAGAGTTTATACCATATATGTATGATTAATTTGGATAATTGCGACACAACCGGAATAAATGCAATTCCGCAATATTTTGCGTTATGTGTGCCCAACGAGTTAATTATTCAAATAGACCATATCTCTCACAACGGCGCCGTCGCCCACGGGTTTTCTAACTAGCAAGCGGATATATTTTCTAATAAGATAACGTAAACGCATTACGTATGGCCCTCTCGTAAAGCAGCAATCCCGTACATTTTACCACGCAATCCTTTCAGCGTTTTACCATCGTGACGAGAAAAACTGCGCCGCGGAGGGATCTTCTCGAGCGCGTTTCAGAAACTCCGAGAGATAAAAAAAATATGTATATATATTTCTTTCTCTTTTTCAAAGTTTTTCTCTCTCTCTTTCTATATATACATATATATGATTGTAACAAAAGTTCGTAGTGCTACAAACTTCAAAATTCAAACAGCTGTAACTTCGTTAAAGGTAAATAAAAAATTTAAATGAAAAGAAAGTATTTTCAAGCTTAAAAATATCTACTTTCGAAAGATCATTATTTCTTTTAAGTTTCTGTGAGTTTTAATTTTATTATTGCATATAAAAAATTATGAATTGAATAAAATGAGAAATTTTCTCTTCGTTTTGTGGACTTATTACGTTACGTGCCACACAAAAAAATTTGCACAAATATTTGACTTTCCAACATAAAAGCTTAAATTTTTTTTCCCTATAAAATCATTTTTTCCTAATGTTTCTAAAATGAGTTATTGCAAATTAAATATAGCAGAATTTTGATTGCTTATAACTCGATTGCTTATAACTCTGTTAAAAATTATTGCGCGTATCACAATTCGAAAAACAGATATTTAAAGTTGAACTTTGCTTTATATGTATGTAATATATATAAATTTCGTCGAATGAGACTTTTTTCGGCAGTCGATGGTGTGTTTATGTTCTCGCATATCATCCGTTTTCATTTCCTTAATCTTCTTCGTATTACTCGGCCAGCGAGAATTTAAACGAGATTGGTACGAGCTGTCGCGTTCGCGTTCAAAGCAAGGAGTGATATTTTTTTTCGTTTCTTCGTTGACGCTTCTCCGCCTCCCCAGGATTGTTCCTGAGATTACTTCTACCGGGTCAAGGCAGACTTTTCATTATCGCTTATATCTTGAGACACCTCATCTCATTAAAATGTGCATGAGTGCGCGTATGTATCTCCATAGATGTTTTTTTTGTAAATCAACTTGCACAGTGAAGCATATTGCAACTCTTTTGCAAAGATTTCGCGCAGCGAAAGAAAAACTCGAAAAATATATTTATTTCTTCAAACTGGATCAAGAATCTGTTAATTGCATGACGTATAATCCCTCAATTTATTAATTATGATTAATTACTCTGTAACTATAGTAATGATATAATATTTAATTGTATTACATTTGGTTTGACATTATGGGAAACCACGGCTCGTTGTGGTACGAGAGGCAAGAGTTGACATTGCACTCCGTTTATGTATTTATGGCAAAAAAAAACAATGAAAAAATTATCACAAAGAATTTCTTGTATAAAATAAATACTTTTCTATGATAATTATATGAAACAGCTTTAAGATTAAATCAAATTAATTAAAAAGAGTATATAAGCCAACGCTAGTTATTATTTGTGCAAATAGTGTCTTCAACATTATTAATTGCATCACAATATAAATAATCAATAAACGTTTCGATCTTTATTGGGGCATCTTCAATATTTTAAATCGTTTATTTTAAAAAATTTCGCTTGCATCATTATTATGCTAGAAAGAGTTTTTACATTAAAATGTTTCGCTATTCTTGAAATTTCTTTTAAAAGTTCGCTCAAAATAATTGTATATGCATATCATTTGTGTAAGAGTATTGTCGAAACGTTTATTGATTATATATATTGTGATGCAATAGATAAATTGTTGAAGACATTATTCGCAAATAATAACCAGCGTTGACTTATATACTTTTCTATGAGTTTTATTTATATCAAATAAATATTATCAAAAAAAAGAGAAAATCTGATTTAAGAGGAGGCAAGTAAATTTTCAAATGTTCTTAAAATAATTTTAAATTTTAATTGTTGAACACAGACTAGAATTTAACAATAATTTCAATTGGGATGAGGTTCAAATATTAAATGAAGAAAAAGACTAATCTCAATAGACTAATTATCTCATAATCAATATATATAAAAAAACAAAGAAATGTTTTAAATATACAAAGTGATACCGATTTATTAGATCCGTTATATAATGTTATGATATTGTTTGTGTATAAAATTTTCCATACTTCATAGTGTATCTTTTTATAAATTCTTTTGTCTTAATCTCTCATTCTCATTTTAAATCTCAACATATACAGATCGTTTTGTATCAATTTGTACAGAACATCATTAATCTGTTCTCAAGTGAATCTTAAAACATTATTTATTAATTTAATTAATTTCTTATCAAGAATTTAATACTGAGCCAATGTTTTTATTCAATTTTATTATAGTGACTTTCTTATTAGTTTAAGAATTCGACGATATACGACAGACAAAGATAGTCTTTACAGTTTAACTATTTATTTTTCACTTCTGATAATTTGTATTTTATTGAGTAGTGACGCTTATTACATAATCTATAATTTTGTTATTTCTACACTTAAAGAGGACACAATAATAATGTCAAAACGTTTGTAATTCATATTACTGATTTATAATTTATAATATATGATTGTTATTTTCACAAAAAACACTTTGTGTTGGCTCATATTACTGGCAATTTTTCCTTAATATATTTGTTAAATTTTAATATTCTTCAATTTAAGAGAGTAAATCTAAGTGATATAGAAAAGTTTCTGTTACTATACGACCTGTTATTTTAAGTAATAACAGTACTTTGTTATAACAAAAAGATTCAATCAAGAAATCAGACATACGGAGGAATGAGGTACATTGGCTTATATTAAAAAAAAAAAAAAAACAGTTTAATTCCCTATTATACATACATGTAAATATTCAATTATAACTTAATTTAGATAAAACGTTTTATACAATATAATATTTAATATTTTTATATTTTAAAATAAACAACTACAAATAAAATAGTTTACAGTTACAACTTGTAATCTTTTTTGAGATCATTTTAAAATTATATTATATCTGACATTATTGGAGATGGGTATTAAAATAGATACTCTCTCTAAGTATAGCATTGCATCGTTAAAGGAAAGTTATTATTTCGTTGCCTCGTAAATATAAAATAATAGCGTCATAAAAACGAAATTTTATAAGTTTTTATAAATATACATATATATTATATATGCTGTTCCAAAATATTAGATACAGAAAGAACGATTTTGCTAAAATATCTAAAAATTTAGCTGAATATAGATCTAAAAAAAATTGTTAAACTACCAAAACAATTATGTAAAACAGTCAAACTTGATTACTATCAAAATTTTTTGCAGCACTGTTCATCGTGCTTGAATTTTTAATTTAATTATTTTGACGGTCTAACAAAATTATTTTCAGATCCGTGTCTACTTAAATTTTTTTATTATATATTTCAACAAAACCGATTTTTCCGTGTATCAATATCTTTAATAGGAAAAGACAGGGAAGAGACTTTTTATACGTTTATACTATTACCTATAATGTTTTAAAAACTATTGTTTAAATTGAGTTAATAATTCCTGAAAATATTGGTAATTAGTATGTTTATCGACAATACTTGTCGATCTAACAAAGTATTAGTTGAAATTTGCCATACAATAGCTAATATAAACATTTACAATGTCGTGTTTGACGAGCTGTATTAATTCGTTTTGCTGTACGTGTATACATTCGCTGATGAGAAATATTAATTATTCTACAAACTCTGTGGTTTAGTCTCTCTTTATAGTTTGTGTGGCCTAAAATAAATAATCAATTAATTAAGACATAGTGGAGTAAGACATATATGCAGAGTCTGTTTGATAAACCAATCAAATTTTACTTTCTAATTCTTGAAAAATAAATGAATATTTAAAGATGTTATTTTGACGGTCCAATAAAATTATTTTAGATTTATATATAGCTAAATTTTTAGATACTTCAACAAAATCATTCTTTCCACATGTATTTATTCTACTTCATAATGTATTTGCTACACGTTCTTCCATATCTTGAAAGAACATATTTTATCTTTAATATGCCATTCGTTCAGATAATTTAAAATTTATTAGTATTATATAATTATATAATATATAAAAGATATAATTAATGTAATGTAAATACAGAATTAATACAAAATGCAATTTCAATACGTAATAATTCTTTTCCCGCATTAGATGATAAAATTACTAATGCAGCAGCATTTACGTTAGATAATTAAGTTGGCCGGAATAAAAAATCCCTTTTCGTAAAAATTCACGCGGAATAACAATGAAGAGACCCGCCTCGTAGATAATTTGACGTGCAAAGTCCAATCCGTCAGCATAGCTCGAGCGATATTTTTAATTAAGAACGATTGTTACCGCGCTATTTGGGAATAGCGCACTTCCGTTTCTATGATGCATATATGTCGGGAGGGTGCAGTTGCGCTGTAATTGTATGACGAAAAATTTATGATCGCGCCTGGATATGTATTTACGGTATAAATATCTGCGTGCTTATAAGGCCGTGGTAAAAATACAGCTCCGAAAGAAACGTTCGCGTCGGACGCGCAGCTATAAATAATAGTTGCCCGCACGTTGCAATGGATTTTCTCTTGTGATTCAGGGAGATATTTCCCTGGCTCCCCTTCTCTCTCTCTCTCTCTCTCTCTCTCTCTCCTCTCCCTCTCTTAACTCCCTTTCTTTCTTTTTGTCTCCTTTCTCTTTTTCCATCCCTACAATTGTATCGTTTATTTCGAAGAGATTAAATGGTAATAAGTTTTATTCATATTCGTGAGCAGATAAAGAAGGGGATA